AAAAAAAAAAAAAAAGAAAGAAAGTAAGGAAAAAAAAAACCAGGACTAGGAAAACAGTTTCCAGGGCCCAATAAACAAGTATAGCTGGAAGACAAAGACTCATTTTGAGAGGTATTTATTCACCTCTAATTCCCAGGGTACTGTAAGGAAACAGATGTTTTCCCCAAAACAGGGTTTGTGGTGCCTTTTCTGTTTTCCCAAGGAGTCTCAAGCATTTTAGGGTTTTTCATACCTGTACCAAGAGTGGCAAGACAGAGTGGAGAAAAGTAATTCAGTTGACTGGGAAAAAACTTTTTCCAGGAAAACAACATTTATAAAGAGAAAAACATAAAGGTCTTTTGAATATTGGAGGAAGGGGTTTTGAAGGAAGGAGTTTCAGAGGAAGGAGAGACCTGGGGAGGGTTTTCATTAAGAAGAAGGATTTCATGAGAGGGTGGAAGCTTGACACAGGGAGGGACAGAATCTAAGGCAGAGGAAAGCCTGAATATAGAAAACCTCTTGCCATTTGCTGTTCCTGATTAAAAAGTTGTCAAGGCCCCTGAGAACTTGAAAGTGCCATTTTTGGGCCATCGGCTGTCATTGTCTAATTTGTATTGGGGCCAAGCCATGTTGCAATAAAAAACTAAACGTGTAAGCCAGGTTTGGTGAGATTGTGAAGGAGACAGCCCTGTGGAGAGGATGTAGAAATGTGGAATTGTTTGGCGCCCATGTGGACTGTAGAGAAGAAGCTGAGGATGTCTGTTTTTATTCTAGCCATCCCCAAACAAAAGACAGAGACCCAGAATCCTCTTTCTAAAGAGGATGGTCAAGCTGAGAAGAAACTGGGCATCCCCACGATTTCCTCTAGCTTAGTCTCACTGGTCCTCTGAGGACTGGGAGAGTCAACCTGACTTCCCAGGTACTGTGAGAAAGTCAGTGGAAGAGAGAGAGAAAGAAAGAAAAGGGAGGATGAGGGAAAAGTGAAGTGAGAGAGAAGATGGGGTAGGTGGCCAGAGACTCTTAGAATCCAGCAGGATGAGCAGCTGCCCACTGCTTTTTGGGTTACAAAAGAGCCTCTACCCCCAACACCCATCCTGGATTTTGGCACCAAATGTAAGAGTTAAAGAAAGAGGAAAGAAATATGAAAAGCAACTCAACAAAGACAGGTTTTTTGGAGAATAAACCTGAGAGAGGCTTCTGGTCAATTTTGGTCAGGAGCAGTCTCTCTTAAAGACTAAGGGTATTTATTGGTCTTATCACAGGCTTGGAATGTTTCTCTGTTAGGGAGAAGTCTATTGCAGGGTTGGAATATCTCTGGTCAGAGGGAAGGTTATCTTGGGGCTAACATCTATAGCCAGAGCAGAGGTTATCTTGGGGCTGGTATGTCTCTGGTCGAGGAGGGGTTTATCTAATGGTTGGAATGTTTCTGGTCGGAGATGTTATTTGTGGTTTATGGTCATGCTGATCTTAGCCATCAGGCTGATGCCCTTTGGATTTAGGCAGTTTTTGATCGAGGTGAACTCTAAAATGATGGTGCTTGTCCAAGATGGTGATGCTCCTGCTCTGTCAAAATTCTTAGCTAAGAGGACTTTATTTCATTGAAATATGTTTTATGGAATTTGGTTGACATTTAAGTTTCTCTGATTTGCCTGGAATATTGAAATCTTTATGAATCCAAATTGAGTACTATAAATAAACAATCTTTTCCTAAAAACCTTTGTGAGGCACAGTAAAGTTCATAAAATTTGTTATAATATGAAAGAAATGTGTTTAGCATGTTCACAATAATAACTCTGAACACAGCATTCTCAGTTCCCAGTATTCAACCTGAGTCACTCAGGGGAAATTGATATCTCTGTAAAGGGGACAGGGGGAAAGGTGCTGAGCCTTTTGGCACTACCCACAGGGGGGTCCATATGATGTTATTCTGGATTCCTGTCATAACTTAAAGGGAAACTCTCACAATGTCTGGAGCCCTTGATGTCCTGCAAATAAAGGAGGAGGATGTCCTTAAGTTCCTTGCAGCAGGAATCCACTTAGGTGGCACCCATCTTAACTTCCAAATGGAACTGTACATCCATAAAAGGAAAAGTGATGGCATCTACATCATAAATCTGAAGAGGACCTGGGAGAAGCTTCTGCTGGAAGCTTGTGCCATTGTTGCCATTGAAAACCCCACTGAAGTCTGTGTCATATCCTCCAGGAATACAGGCCAGTGGGCTGTGCTGAAGTTTGCTGCTGCCACTGGAGCCAATCCAAGTGCTGGCCACTTCACTCCTGGAACCTTCACTAACCAGAGCTAGGCAGGCTTCTGGGAACCATG